GTTGTTGTTGTTGCTTTCTTGGCACAGCTTGGGTCGATGTTGGCGTATCTTGGGGGCTATCTGGGCATCTTGGGAGCTATGCTAGCCCATCTTGTCGCTATGTTGGGGCTATGTTGGCCCATCTTGGGGGCTATGTAGGCCCATCTTGGCGCTATCTTGGCCCATCTTGGGGCCACGTTGGCCCATCTTGGGGGCTATGTTGGCCCATGTTGGGGCTATGTGGCCCATGTCAGCACAGCATCCGCCCACGATGCAGACGAAGCATCCCGGTGCGGCGCGCATTTCCAGCATTATTTGGGCCTATGTTGGGCCATGTTGACCCATCTTGCGCCGCAAGAGCCGAAAAATTGGACAAGCCAAAAACACTGTAAAACGCGGTAGCTTCGGTAGGTCGGCGGCGGGGGCGGCACTCCCCTCTCTCCTACCAAGAGGAGAGATGGCCTACGGCAAGGACACGGCCTTAGGGCGGGCGGGAGGCCCCCGGTCGACCCCCGCCCGAATCCGGTCGACACATGTAAAAAATGCTGTAAGGGTGGTGGGGTGGTGTCGGTTACGCGTGCCGTGCGGACAGGATTAATCGATAGAGGCCCCCAAGATGACCCAACATAGGTTCCAGATATGGGACACATAGCCGCCAGATGGCCCTACATAGGTCCCAGATATGGGAAACATAGCCCCAAGCTGGGCCGAGATTGCCACAAGATGTGGCCACATAGGCCCCACACAGTCTCAAAAACAGAGAGAGAGAGAGAGAGAGAGAGAGAATTTTGGCCCTTTGGCTCATCTTGGGGCTATGTCGGCCCATTCTTGGCTCATCTTGGGGCTAACCTTCCACCCACCTCTTTTCTGTGAAGCCCGTTGCGCCAGCGCCTCGGACCGGCGAACCACGACCGCGGCTTTCGCCCCCCAGCCCCCTGACTTGACGCCCCTGGCCGGCTGTCGGGCGTCAGCCCTTAAATAACAGGTACTTAGCCACTTCCTGTCTCAAGAAGCTGAAGACTCATGAAGCCGAGACGCTTTGGTCACGAAGCCAGGCCGGACTCAAGCGTTGCCCCACATAGCCGCGAAGGTCCAAGTCCTGAAGATCTTGCAGCACTCCAAAGTCTCAGTTCAACATAGACTGAGTCTCGGAGTCTCCTTGTTGGAACTGACATAGTGACCCCCCTGGGTAAAAGTACGGCATTTTATCTAGAACAGTCTCCTATGTAAGTCCACACAAACACCAAGTTCGTAGATCGGGGTGAGGAGATCTGGGTGTCAGCCCATTGTCCATTTCCTGCCATTGTGATGAGTGTCAAATCCCAGCGGGCTACACTCTATCAGCGCTCCACCGAACTCGCGGAAAGCTCTCTTGCAAAGAGCCTCAGGCAGTCGCAAATACTTGACCACGACGACCGAGGCTCCGGTTCTTCTGGTGGCAAACGCCATTTGAGACCGCACCAATCAATTGCAATTTCTGGCGCTCAGACTCTGGGAAAAAGCTGCAACACACGAAGTGTGACAAAGACCTTTCAATGATTCAAATCTCCAGACACCGTTCAACACCGTTCCACTATTTTTGGGATGAACCCCGGCAGTTTACCCAACAGAATCTTTGGGACCCGGATAGTCGCTGATAGTACTCGATTTCGTTTAGACCACGCATAGCACGGTGTCCAAGCTTGCAAAGCACCAAAGCCAAAGCACGCAGCCAAAGAATACCTCCTCCCATTGGGTTTCACTCTGTTTTGCAATTCCGCCACTCCCCAACTCCGGGCAGCATGGAGCAATCGGAAGATGGGCCAGTCAGATTGCACCGCAGCTACAAAGCTCATTCGGCTCAAGGATAAGGTGAAGAACGGCGCACAAAGGTCGTATTTCACCTCAGCCAAGTGCAAAGGCCAAAACAAACTCACAGTTTCAGTCTGCTCGTCGTATGGTGTGCACCAGATCTATGAGCATTTTAAGCAAAGCAGCAATGTCCGAGAGTATGCTTAAGGAAATCAAGAAAAGCAGGGAATTCCGTCACCCCAATAGGGTAAGCTTAAGGAGGATCTGCTGCGACTATATACTTGCCTCCCTCTCTGCATCCTTCAAGTGTGTCCCAAGAGGCTAGTAGCTTCTTGTTACTACTAGTAAGGCACCTGTTCCTAGTAGCGTGGCACTTGTTACTACTACTGAGCCGATCCAAAGACGGAAATGAAACGCTTGAAGGTACGACCAAGCCACAGGTCTTAGCAAGCGATGGATCCTTGCGTGGCTTTGGCATTTGTTCGCGCTTCCACGTGGCCACTATGTTATAATTCAAGGCGTTTAGCAAAAGAGGGCGGAAGCAATATCAAGTGTTCTACATCTGAATTACAGGACAATCACTATCTGGAAATAAGAACTTTCCTCAACGTGTTCCACACTGAAATCAATATCATTGACGATCATTGATGGTTGTTCTGACAAGGTGGTCACCGGATATTGTGAACAGAATGGGTTTGCGGCTCGCGAAAGCTTTGTCCCGATGGTCTGTACTCAGGTCAGCAACGCCGTGGAATCTTGTTCCACTTTCAGATATT